TAGCCATTTAATAGAACAGCAGCAATAAGATTAGAAAATGTAATTGTTGAATTTCTTTGCTGATTGTCAACGATTTCGACGGCGAATTGTGATATGAGATTCTTCTCTTTATTAGTGAATTCCATGGCGTGTTTTGGCTGTAAATTGTGAACAGATCGATCTATTTTGCTACTAAAATAATCAGCTGCTGAAATGGGACTGCAAAATGTAACGTAAACGTTTCCATAGTCCTGATGGAGATAACGTAAAGACCGGAAAAATCCCTAAAAATTTATTGATATGATTGGGCTTACATATGAATATAAAAAATATTACTTTGGTTGACTCCTTAGGCTTTGGAACACCTAGAAGTTCAAATGCAAACAGTCTTTCCTCTAATACTCGATCATAACTTAAATTTACTGGCACAAAAAGAATATCTGGCACTTCTGAAGTAAAGTAAGGTTTTAACAACATGGACAATAAACCTAAAATGTGTTTGTTTATTTACTGAAAGTAACCAATGACCCTCAAACGCACCCAGTTTTGGATAAAGACTTTTCCCAGTACGACTTCTGGTACCCTCAATAAAGAATTCAATAGGTTGATGTCCCTTTGTCATGATATCTTCAATATACTGTTGAAATATTTGCCAATATAAAAAGTCTGTGTCACGGAAAGACCTTCTCATATAAAATGCTCCCACTTGTCGCAAAAGTTTGCCAAATATTGCCATACCTTTGAAATCTAATGTAAAATCAATGTTATTAAAAGAATATTGGAAATAAATATGAATTATTTACCTATTCCTGCAGCAATTGCAGGCAATTCAATATCGTAATGGAAACACAAATATGACATGACTGTAAAATCAACATAGCTTCTGTGAGATGGTACAAATATAACTGGACAATTTCCCATAATAGATCTCAACTAAAATAGGCTTAGTATTCATCTAAATTATAACTTTACTGTTACTAACATTAAAAACCAGACACTCATCCCCAACGCCATATAACGACTGATTAGTGGTTATTACAAGTGAGAATTGAAAAACAATTTACAGCCAGCGACGGATGACTACAACGCATTTGTAATGTTTATCAAAAATTTCTGGGGATGAATATTCTTCTTCTTGGAACTGTTTTTTAGTAAATACATATTTTTTTATGTAAATTTTAAATTATACTTCTTTTGATACGTTGAGATGAAGCTGCGTGCGCAGCATGCGATATGATTTGAGCAACTAGAATTAATGTTATCCAAAACATTATTTAAATATTCAAAAAAAGTAGTACTTTCACGTCTGTAGCATAGTTTTTGTTAATTTAGATGTTTATTATATATTACAATAACTGTCGTTAAAGCGAAATAATCGATAATATGAATAGCTGTTTTTTTATATTATTGAGCGCTTATTCTAATCATAAGTATTTTAAACTTCTGTAAAGGAAATTCAAGAACTAGTCCAAAAAGAAAATAAACTGATAACAAATATGTATAATGACTACAATAAGTTATATAAAGAAGTTACAAAAATAACAATGGCACCCAAAATAATCCTAGGTAAAGTAATAAAATTATTTATTTTAAAACTTTGATGTAAGTTTTAATTCATTGGACTCTTCTTTAATTGATGTTGAAGAAATTAGTTGCACGTAATTTCCTAAAATATTGTTACCTTTACAACAGAAGAAAAATAGATTAATTGTATTTGAACTTACTTAGTCGGCTTAATAATTCTGCCAATTTTTGGTAATTGACACGATAAATTACAGAACTTTTTCTAAAAATACAAAAATAAAATCTGAAAATGCAATACACAAATAATTAAATACATACATTTTAATTCTCGTTATGACACCAATTGAGCTAAGACTAAAAATGCAATTAGAAATCGAATTTAAAGATAATATATAGGGGTTTATAAACGTTTTGTCCTCATTAAGAAGTTCTTCTAATAGGGCTTGACTTTCTTCGGTAATACTTTTCTCTGAAATTTCGTCTTCCTGAAAAGTATGAGTTTTAATTTTCATAATTTACAATACAACACCAAAAATCTTCACTCACTTTCTGAACAACTGAAGCTACAATGTAATAAGTTACAAAAAAAGGTTCCATGAGTTTATCAAATAAGCTGATCAGCATTGTATTTTTACCCACTACGGAATTAGTATCGACGTTGTTATTGTAGGAAATTACTTCAAATTCTTTTAATTTACACCAGCAATTTTCAAAGTCCTGCAAAAATGTTTTTAAAACACTTATATATCAAACATAAATTGGTCACACACCAATTGTTCTCTTTTTATGCCGACAAATTCATACGAAAAAAGAGACCTCAGAAAAGTGAATTCCCCAAAGACATCTACAAACACAAGATATGAAGATGTTACATGAGTTCATGCAGAAATAGTCCTAAGGTTAATCATGATGAAGATATGATATGAATTATACTACATATTACTACATGCACAAGAAATATGAGAAAAAAAACTTGCCTGCCTTCGAAATTATGAAGTGCTTGCTCTTCAAAATGCATACTATTAAAGAAGGATTTATACAAAAATACATTAGAGGATTAACGTACTCTTGCAATAAAATAAATGGCACAGAATAGTTCATTGTTGTCTCTAAAAAATTGTGACCTTTCAATCTCTCTGCTGCTGTGTAAGTTAATTTTTCGTGATTTTTCACAAGTTGCAAAGTCCTTTCATGTAAACAAAATAGATTTTTATGAATTTCCAATACATTTTTTAAATCCTCATCAAATTTACTGGAGAAAATATTTGCTCCAAGAGCATTTAACATTGATTTAAGTGATAACACATCTTTTTCTGCCTCATTTAATGTAACAGTTTTGTTATTTGAATAGCCATTTAATAGAACAGCAGCAATAAGATTAGAAAATGTAATTGTTGAATTTCTTTGCTGATTGTCAACGATTTCGACGGCGAATTGTGATATGAGATTCTTCTCTTTATTAGTGAATTCCATGGCGTGTTTTGGCTGTAAATTGTGAACAGATCGATCTATTTTGCTACTAAAATAATCAGCTGCTGAAATGGGACTGCAAAATGTAACGTAAACGTTTCCATAGTCCTGATGGAGATAACGTAAAGACCGGAAAAATCCCTAAAAATTTATTGATATGATTGGGCTTACATATGAATATAAAAAATATTACTTTGGTTGACTCCTTAGGCTTTGGAACACCTAGAAGTTCAAATGCAAACAGTCTTTCCTCTAATACTCGATCATAACTTAAATTTACTGGCACAAAAAGAATATCTGGCACTTCTGAAGTAAAGTAAGGTTTTAACAACATGGACAATAAACCTAAAATGTGTTTGTTTATTTACTGAAAGTAACCAATGACCCTCAAACGCACCCAGTTTTGGATAAAGACTTTTCCCAGTACGACTTCTGGTACCCTCAATAAAGAATTCAATAGGTTGATGTCCCTTTGTCATGATATCTTCAATATACTGTTGAAATATTTGCCAATATAAAAAGTCTGTGTCACGGAAAGACCTTCTCATATAAAATGCTCCCACTTGTCGCAAAAGTTTGCCAAATATTGCCATACCTTTGAAATCTAATGTAAAATCAATGTTATTAAAAGAATATTGGAAATAAATATGAATTATTTACCTATTCCTGCAGCAATTGCAGGCAATTCAATATCGTAATGGAAACACAAATATGACATGACTGTAAAATCAACATAGCTTCTGTGAGATGGTACAAATATAACTGGACAATTTCCCATAATAGATCTCAACTAAAATAGGCTTAGTATTCATCTAAATTATAACTTTACTGTTACTAACATTAAAAACCAGACACTCATTGACAAGAATTCCCTGCAGACCTTTTAGGTATAGTTTAAGTAAAGTCCATCCTAGCCATCTAACTACTGTTAATTCCTTTTCAAAACCAATTTCATCTAAAATAAATCCAATATCCTTTTCTAATTTAATTTCAGATACATTACTCTCTTGGTATACCTATAATTAAATATAAAATAAAGACTAAATAATATTATATTGAACAAAGCACCTTCTTAATCAGTTCTTGAATTTTAGAACTGTTAAGGACATTTTCTTTATGTTTTTCTGGACTTGTAATACTGTGATGTCTGTAGGATAGCACAGGGCTGATTTCTCGATACATAAACGATAAGTTGCTCCATTCTTTTCGCCTGTTCTCCAAAATGTCTACATACTTTGTATTGCAAAATTCCATTTTTAATTACTGATTATCAAGGTATAATTAACACATTTTCCTTAGTCACTTTTAACCATTTTTTTTACAACTGAACCCACTGAACCGAACTGAACGTACAATTCATAGATTAAAGATACAATATAGATTAGATACAATTGAATGTGAATATAACTGCAAATATATTGAACAATAGAGATTAGTTCAATGAATACTTACATGTTGCTATGGTTATCCTGTTTATACCCCATGGTCATTTTCTGTTTTTAATTTTCTAATGTTCGGTACAGTTTTCAGTTAGAATGCAGAGATGGCGCACTCCAGCCTTAATGTACAGAACGTTTATATTTTATTATCGTGTTAAACAGAATTATTAGGAATACCTGCATCATTACCAGATTATCACTAAATACCACAAATCAAATAAAACTAGTTGAATAAAAAATTAAAAGCGCAATGTATAATATATACTAAGTTCTCATGTTTATTTTTGTCTTCAAAGGGAATTATGATACACAAATTAACGAATAAAACGATATTTGGCGAATAAATTAATTTTAATACATAGTATTTATATTAGTTGATATATGTATATAGTACAGATATACTATCCCGGAGGCTTTAAACGATAACTACAAACAATGTTCATTTGCGGAGAGGAAAGGACTGGCATCGATCTGTTGTAATCGTACCACTGTTCAAATTGAAGGATTCTGGAGATAGTGAATTAATTAAAGATCAAAAGAAGGATGAATCCAATAATGAGATGAAAGGAATCCGGCACCTCAAGTCCATCGTGGGCAGATGTGAGACACCACAACAAAAAGTTATTGGGCCCAGCAGAATTCTCCTATCGCAGTGTTTTTAAAAGAATGTGGAAGAGCCCAGATGGAACTAGAAACCAACTTCAGGTGGAGCCGAGAGCTGAAAGTCTTAAAAATAACATGTGGCGAAGGACATTTCGGAGTTATGAAGACCTTAGGGAAGATTTGGGAGAGATTTTTTTTTGTTTGATATTTGCCGCCAGTAAGGTACAGGATACGGAAAGTCGTGGACGAATACAGCAGTACCACGTGGAGGCGCCTTTTAGAAGAATTGCAGTCGACGTGGCAGGACCATTTCCATTGACATACTGATAGACTCCGATAACCGATACACCTTGGTCATTACGGATTACATTAGCAAGGAAACCGAAGCATACGCGATACCAAATCAAAAATAATTCTCTAACTAACTAAACCCGAAATTCTGATTAAACATCAATTATTCCAAATACTTTCAATACTTAGGGAACGTACCTATTCTATGTAAGCCATTCTTTTACAGTTTTCATCCCCCTTCCCTTCTCGATAACCACCCGAAGTATAGACCAAGACCCCCCCCCCTTCCTTCTAGTTTTCATGTAGTAATTCATAAATATGGTTTTAACTCATTTTATGCAAACAGAAAGTTTTGAATATAACTCGAAAAAAATCGAGTTTTCCCTAGAGGATATTGAATACGTGACGAAAACCCCCGCCCCTGTGACCAAGCGTGGTACTTTTGAAGACCCGTTTCCTTAGTTAGTAATATGGTAAAGAGTTCGGTATAATTTCATTACCTCTCTGGACCCTTAACTTATATCTTCAGTGGATGCAAGCTAATGAAATCCTGTGGGAGGTATTTTAGGAGCAGTTATAATTTTATACCATTCCCTAGTTATGTGAGCCTGTTAAAACACAAAAATTAAATTCAGGAATAACCTAGAATTCTAAATTCATACTAACGAAAACGCATGACATAAAATATGTTCAAGCAAGAGAACTCTGGTAATTAAATATTTTTTGAAAGGGAGTACTTTACAATGTTCGTTGTGTATCTAATAAATTATAAACACACAATATAGTGTATGTCTGTGTATGTTTTAGTATTATGTGGTGGTGAAAATGAGTTTTCAACGAGTTAGACAACTTTCTACATCTTCTAAATATGAGAGTGTCAATCAATTCGTTACGTCAATTCATGGTATTGAATTACCTATGAGTACGAGCGATTAATTAAGTCAGTTAACCAAAATAGTAGGTCAATTAACTGAACATGTATCAAGCACATCATCATCACAATCGATCAATCCAAGGGGCGTAAAGACAAGTAATGGATTTCGAGATGTAATACCTGTGTTTGAACCGGAAAATACGAGCCACTCGATTGAGCAATGGATCCAAAAAGTGGATGAACTAAAGGAAATCTTTAAATGCACCGAACGTGAGTCAATAATGTAGGCCATTTCCAAATTGTCTGGCCTGACTTTGCAATGGTATGAATCGTTGCCATCCATAAAACATTCTTGGGAATAATGGAAAGGAATTCTACTTAGAGGATTTCCCACCTGTAAAGATTACAATGCCGCGTTATGGCAGACGATGAACAGGAAGAAATCGGGGTTTACTTCAAATGCTAGGGGCAGTGAATTTAATGTCAAAAATTGACGAAGTAGAAAAAATACACTTTCCATTAATAATAGGACAAACAAAAAAAGCCGGATATTTTAATTGTTAAAGATAAAGATAGTTTAAGTGTCTTTCGAGAAAGAGGGTAAAAGCAACAGTGTTATCTCCTAATCATATCGGTGTAATTCACGTGCAAGGGGAATATATAAGTGACAAAGATTTGTATATAGAAAACAGTTTACGAGATGAACCGGGGAAAGGGCATTTAATACCGGATGTGATTTTACATACAGATCAGTCTGGCGAAGTCGTTTTACCAGTGATCAATCAGTCCGATAATGGTTTAGAAATTGGTACCGAAAATCCAATTGTCAGATTGTTGTCATGTGAACCGTGTGAACCGCAAAAAGTGATATCTGCTTTAGGTACATACTGAAAAACATTATCAGAATCCGAAGTTAAAATAGGTTTAGACAATCTTGATGTTCGAAAACGTTTACTTACTGTTATTAATAAATATCGCGAGTGCTTGACAATTGATAATTCTGAATTGGGTGTTGCGAAAGCTACTGAAGTGCAAATACAGTTAGAAAATGATAAACCGTTTATGTATATGCAGTACCGAATGAGTTCTGGGGAGAAAGAAAAAGTGAACGATATTGTTAGTGATCTATTGCAGTCGAATATAATTCGTGATTCCCAATCTAACTATGCGTCACTTGTGTTGTTGGTTCGTAAGAAAAATGGTGAATACCGCATGTGCGTGGATTTTCGTAAACTTAATTCCATGACTGTGAAAGAGCGTTACCCACTACCCCTGATTGATGACCAAATGTATAAATATACACAGGGTGCTAAATATTTTACGACACTGGACTTGGCATCTAGTTACCATCAGATTCCCGTTGCAGAATCTTCAAAACGTCTCACTTCATTTGTTACACCGACAGGTCACGAGGTCAGTATGAGTATAACCACCTTCCGTTTGGGTTTTGTAATGCGCCCAGTGTATTTCAAAGACTAACGAATAAACTTTTGTTACCACTTAGAGGTATTTCCGGAGTGTATTTAGATGACATTATTATAATCTCAAAAACGTTCGATGAACATTTGGAAAATATTGAAAAGGAGCTAATGGAAAGAAGCATCCCACAGCCGCCAGACTACTCAAGCCGAGTAGTGGTAGTAGAGACATTAAAGGTTGTCAAGGGAAGTAAAAGTAGTGAAAGAGCGAATATAAAGGTAGGAGACGAAAAATGAGAAGAAGTGGCTGACTTTAGGTATCTAGGAAGTCAGATATGTCAGGATGGAAGGAGTAGTAGGGATATAAAGTAGAGGATAGCGCAGGGTCGAGTCGCCTTCAATAAAAAGAAGTCACTTCTATACTCACGAAAGGTTAATTTAGGCATTCGAGGTTCAACCTCCACACAAACGAGTTGCTACCAGGTATAATAAAATTAGAAACGGATTTAAAATTAGAGTTATTATTCATGAAAGCACATATCTACTGATTAAATGAATCACAGGAAATTCACTTGATAACTCGATAACTTGATGGACCCAATATCAACATTAAGATTTTTAATACTACTCGATGAAGCATGCTTCAGAAATTGAGATTATAGATAAATAAATAAATAATTACATTAATAAAAAACACCTGTTTTTGTATCACAAATATATTAAGGTCATGTTACATAGCGCGTGAATTGCCAATCCACGCTCTGGGTAATGGGTCCGGCGGCGCGGCCTGGAGTGGACAAGTGCGTCCTAGCGGTTTCTTTCATTTCTTTTTTCGCGCCGTGTAACACGGCCATTAGAGTAGAGAAATAACAACTTTACCGGTTATCTATCTTATAGTTTATAAAAACGGGGAAGACCCAAATGCGGTCTAGCCATTAGTAATGGATAGACTAGTACAGAGCCGGGAAAACTTTAACTTCGTAGGAGCCGCTACCTGAGGTTAGTTTGAGTCACTCCATACCCTTCAATGAGTATGATAGAGTAAGCAGTAATGACCCATATTGCTTTCTCTTTTTATTCTCCCTTCCACTCCCATATCAAGCCCCTTCATCCCGTAGACGAGCGAAGCCTCTCACGCAACTTAAATAATACCTACGAAAAATTTCTTACTACGCTCGCAATACTATTAGGTTCGGCTATAGAAGAGGGGACTCACCTACGAAATGGAAGGGATACGAAAAGGAAAGAATCATCTCACTCGCACTCGCAAGATCAATGAGGAGCTCCTTGCCTATACCTGAACAGCTCGGGAGTCAAAAGAGCCGAGTTTGCCCGGCTCTGGACTAGTAGATCTTTTCATAGATTGGTTAATTTTTTGTGTGCAGGAAATTTATATTGTTTGTATCTATTGAGAGTTTGTGAGCTCTGCAGTTAGTTGTCAGTTATATATTTGCACATTTATTTCCATTTATTATACACTTTAAATGTTTTTTTAAGGAGCCGCCTATTCTATCTAATATAAGCGGTTTCACAATTATTACAATTTATTTTAAAAACGCCTCTTTTGTGTATTTATTTGAGAAGCGTTGGCTTGGCTTAATTCAACAATTTTTAAGAGATTAATAAGTCGTCTCCCTTTATTTTGTGTGTGCAGTAATTTTAAATTGTTTAAATCTATTTAGTAGTTGTGAGCTATCTACGTCGGTTTTATACTTCTACATTTATGTTCACTTATTATAAATTTTAAATGTCGGTCTATGCGTTTTTTAAGGAGTTGCCCACCTTGCCCAATTTAAAGGGCTTCGCTATTATTACAATGTATTTTAAAAACACATCTTTTACTTTGTTTGGTTTGTTATAGAATAGGCTCACTTCAAAAATCGAAAAATCTTAAATATATATAAATACATGACAACTTGTTTATCTGCTTCAATACTCCTAGTAGTTATACTTCGTTTACTTTCTGTAGCGATGTGACCTTCAGTTTGACCGGCGCAAAGTAGTAAAGAACAGCACTAGGCCAGAAAAGGAAGGAGACAACTCTCGGCCAAACTCTTAACCGGTGAGGAGCGTATAATCCGTACAGTACTGCACGGAAAAATTGACATTTTATCCACTACAATTGCATTACTTAAATGTGCTGTTATTGGTACCATTTACTACTGAAAATATTAACGAGATGTTTATTTATATTTGAAGACATATTAAAGGCTTTAACGCTTGTTTTCGACTCGCAGTACTATTCATGATTGAACAAAACTTTTGGCAGTTTCTGTATGAAAAAGTATGTTTAATGAACAAGAGTTGAGAGGATAATGAGCTTTTTCCTCCCTACCTACGATTTTGCCAGTGCGCATCCAAGACATTGGAAGGGGCAGATCGCTAGAGAAAGTAAATGAAGTATACGTTGCCACTTCGTAGAAAACTCTTTTTAAAAAAAACAAAAAATCTTCTGATTTCTTATTTAGAGTTTAACTACAACAACGGGAGGTTTTAATTATAACAGCAATGTATTATGCACGTAAACTGCCACAATTAGAACTCCAAGAAAATTAAGGAATATGATACGTTTCGTTATCAATGTGTGAAGCATTTTTATTAATTAGTTCAAGGATTTTCACATGGATCTCTTAGCCCATTTGAAAGAGATTAGGTATGGTCGGTGCTGGGCTAGGGAAGGCTTATCTTCTGTCCGGAGCTTCTTCAAAGGAGACGCGTTAGGACTGGGTGGAATTCCTGTCGACTGGAAGAAAGGGTGTTCCAATTTAGGTGCTTCAAGTGTCTGGACCTTGGTCATTACATCATGCCCTGCAAGAGTAAAGGTATTAAGAAAGCGAAGCACGAGGCAAAGAGTTGCACCTCACAGATGAAGTAAGTACCATAATTGTGACTCCATCAATAATGAGCATCGGTGGATAGTATGCGTTGTACTATATAGAAAAACGGAAAAAGCTACTTAAGAGGAATATCAACGAGGGGCTGTATCCGTAAAACTCTTACAACTAAATGCTAATAGTCGTTGGAAAGCCACGGAGCTCTTGGGGCAGCTAGGAGCTGGGGCCCGAAAAATATGGTGTGATGCTGTCCTTGATCTGAGCCTAACCTAAACCTAGCCAAAAGTATGTTTATTAATAGGTACTTTTTTTTATCAATCAGGAATAAGAATTAAATATACAAAATTTTATGGAGTCACAAAGTTAATTGGAAGTAACGAAGTGAGAAGACCGTTATTTCAATGCGATAATCACTAATCAACTGTAAACCATTGACTATAAGACATTCCGTTCTATTTCTTATATTTTATAATTGTCTCGTAACATCACCATTATTATGACTAAACATAGGAAAGTGATCTTGCTATGCGCACTCGTGGATCTGCAATTTTCTGAGCTAGTCAATTATTCATCATCATCATCATCGCCTCCACTTTTTCCTATACTGAGTTAATCTTCGCATATTCTTATGACTAGAACATCCATTTTTGAACAGCAATTTAATCTAGGTCTACCTTCACCTCTCTTAAATTCCGTTTCTGCTTCCAATATGTCTCTGAGTAGCTCTTCATGTTTAAGTCAATTATTATTTAAAATAAGAGCAACATAGGCATGTATTTCAAACAAGGGTAACATAAACTAACCAAAACCTAACTTTCAACAGGTATTTTTATTAAAAAGAAAAAATAAACAAATAAAAAGTAAAGGAAAGTTTGTTGTCTGCATAGAGTAGGATCGAATTATTATGTTTATATCTAATTAATTTAATAATAATTACTGATAAATTCCTATCCTGAAGGTATATATAATGAACAATTGCATAAGCCGACTGGAATTACCAGCAACATAATTTTCAATAACAATAAAGTGTATTAAATCAGAGCCAATACCAGATTTTAAATGATTCTGGGACAAAATCGACCCTGAGGTAAACTCGACTAAAATTTAATTGTATCGGTTGAAATGTAAAATTATCACGGAAGTAGACACCGTATAGTACCTAATGCTGTCGAAGGGTGGAATAGTAGACTTACTAAATTATTAATTGTTTTAAAGAAGAAGTCATGTATAATGGTTACTTAACAGATAGAATGTTTCTCAGTTTAGAAGGTAAAAAAGAAATATAAATATCGGAAACCTGAAACAGACACTTTATTTATTTTATCTACAAAACCTGCAATAAGATATATACATTTAACATATACATAAGGAACCCAAAAAAATGAATAAAGCTAAAAACAATGTTATAAAAACGTAAATAACAGAACAGATATTAATTTTTACACATGCCAGTATATATAACATGAACTTCAAGTACCTACGTAGAGATTTGTATATGTATAGTGAACTAAACACAGGTTCGACTTAGTCCCACCTGTTAATTACAGAGTCGATTTCGTATCAGGGTCGGTTTTGTCTCAGGGTCGATTTTCACTACATTAATTACAAGCTTTATCTGAAAGATTGAAAAAACATTAAACATTCCTTTATAAAGCGCGATTCTACCAAGTACTGTACAGTATTTCTGTTAGGAGTAGAAATGGAAAAGATTGTCTTAATTTTCATAACATTCTCGTTAGTTACGGTAAAGCAGTGAAATTAACTTACAATTAGGTCGATTGTGAATTAATTTGTTGTCGTTTTTGCAGGCTTACGTAACTAGAGATTTGTCTGAAATTCCCACAGAACTTCGTCAGCTTCCACTCTCTGATGACGTAAGGATTGTGGGAGGGAATGAAGCTGCACCAAATTCTTTACCATATCAAGTATGAATATTTATTTATTTATATCTTCAACAGACTGTGCTTTTTACGTAATTTGATTTATATTTAGAAAAAATTTGACAGAATGAATTTTTAAAAAAAGTACAGAAAGAACAATTTTTAAGTGATAAAAATAAAATAATATAAAGAATTATTTCTGAAATAGAGATTAATTAACTTGGGCTTATCATTATTCTCGTAGTAACCTTATTCTTATATCAAGAATTGAACTGTTATTATGATTAGAGAAGTAACATACAGTTGATATTTGTATTAGCCAAGTAATTTTTTAATTAATCTCACCCTCTAACCTCAAATGAACGAGGAAAAATTGTTGCTGCTGCTAACTACTATGCCGGGAATTGAACCCGGACTCCTGGTTATACGCATCAGTATTCTACTATTAAGCTACAAGGAGGTATCAGCAGCAACAATTTATCCTCAATAATTTTAGATTATCTGTAGTAGGTAACATTAATTCACTAATACATTGTAATACATTCAAAGTATTCCTTTTGACGTTTGATCAAAAGTTTATTTTCCATTCCCAAGTTTTAACTAAGCAATTTCGGGGGACGGCTCAAATTTTGAGAAGACGAAATTATTGATTTGGTGGGGACGAAATTTGGGTGTAAAACTTAGGAGATGTGATATTCTCGGGAGGGAGGCTGTAGGAGTTTTAGGCAACAAAATTTAAGGGTTAAAAGTTACATCACAAATGAAAATTGAACAAAAACGTTTAGAAAAAGGATCTTCTTCTCATTGAAGATCAATACACCACTTACATTGATAGGAGCGCTGCAATCATCCTGACCAGGAGGTAGTGCCACCAACACTTACATTACTTATGGTTCTTAGATTATGCTCTTAAGGGTAGAGTCTTTCTGTTAATGCGTCCCCGAGTCGAACGTCCCCGATTAGACCATCGATCCCCGTTCACTCGCTATACTTATTGATGAATAAGTGATTATTTCATGACCCCTTATTATCATTTCAGCGACCAGCAGTGGAGTCTTAAACAAACTCAAAAACCATTTTAGACTTTAAAACATGTTTCAAAATTAATTAAATATTTCATAATTATAACGTTGCATTTCTTTCAAAAATCATAAAACAGATATCGAGTTAATTTACTTGCAAAATAAGCGTATTGGCTTTCTGCAGCAACAAAACAGTAAGCGAAAAGAATTATCTATGTAGGTACAAGCAGAAATTAACGCAACTTCGATAGTTCTGGTTATTGTGAACATTGTGGAACTTCACGAAGTCATCGAAAAAGACAGGGGTGTTTCTAAGCTACTTAGTATCGGAAATTTCATCAGTTTTTCACTAAATAAAGGAAATTTCTAAAATCAGTGAATGATCCATATTGAACTATGTACGAATAATAAAGTTTAGCGCGTGAACGGGGATCGATAGCCTAATCGGGGACGGTTGACTTTATAACGCGTTAACAAAAAGACTCTACCCTTAAGAGGATACGCTTAAAACCATAACCCTGTGTGTTGGTGACACTACCTCCTGGTCAGGATGATTGCAGCGCTCCTATCAATGTACCTAAGTGATTTAGTTAACATTTACGGTGTATTGATCTGCATTGAGAGAAAGATCCTTTTTATAAACGTTTTTGTTCAATTTTCATTTGTGATGTTATCTATCTAAATTACCTGACAACTAACTCAAAATCTATTTGTAATTGTCATATCGTCTTTTTAAATTTCATATCGGTTTTACTTTACTATACTTTAAAGTTGCTATTGTTTTCCAATCTTGCCTTTCTTATCATTTTAGTACCTTACGTCCAGTTACGACAAAATAATAAAAACACATAATCAGATAATTAAAATAAATAATTAACAAAAAAAAACTAATAAAATACCGCGTGACATGTAGGCACTGATATCCCTCAATTGTAGATCACGTATTTTGTAAATTTTTTCACTTACATTTTATTTTTTTTTATTCGTTTGTTTTAAATATTATAATTATGACAATTCTAATTTTTCTTGGTAACCATAACCATAAAAGGTAACATGTTATTTTAGAACGGGAGTAATTTGTTGAAATTGCGCGTAAATTTTATTTTTTTTAAGTATAATGTATTGGAATCAACTTGAAGTAGTATGTGGCGTTATTTAATTTAAATGGGCGACGAACAAAAAAGGGTAACGCGCAGTCAGAAAAGATCGAGCTCGGAGGCAAACGTTGAATAAAAAAGTAACAAAATTACCCAGGGGCAACAAATTCAAAAGAGTTCAGGCCAACACATAGTAGTACTACTACAGATCCATTCACACCCTAATCATCCTTGTCCAGGAGCTCACCCCGACTATCTCCATCTACTTTTACATTCGAGTTAGCTAAAGTATATCAGGCTACAAATTCAAACTCTGCTGAATTTACAATCCCATCAACCCTTACCTACATGTTACAGAACCCTAAAAATAACCCAAATAACCTAACAACGGATTCATATAAATCAAATAACACAAACGCTCGAATCACCCACACTACAAATAAATCAACCGCAATTACCAACGACACTAGCCATACCAACCCCTCAAAAACCTCCCACTAATTCACCAAACTAAATCATGCAAACTATTACATTATCAAATGCTTTTGCGGAAACAAAACAACCAGCTACCTCTAAATTTATACCACCACTCGGATTCTGCCCTAACCTTTTTATCAAAATATGATATAATAACTGCGTGTAATGGTTAGACAGATTCATATAAAATTGTTTATTTCGGGAATTTCCTAGAGAGTGCCGCTAATATTTGGTACAACGAATATATAAGAAATGAACAAAATTGGGAAAGGGATTGGAAAAGAATTAAAAACGATTTCCAAAAAAAAACATTTGTGTGGTTTTATGAAACCACGATGCAAGTGAAACTTTTCCTATTATAGGAATTTAACTGTAAATTTTCCGAAAATTATTCGATTTATGGTATTAAAATTAAAATCACGTTCTTAATCTTATCTTAATGATTGGAAAATGGGAATGAGACTGGGAAATCAATAGTAGACAAGATATCCAACTATAAATTTTAATTTCAATCTGCGTATGAGAGTACGGAATACGTAATAAATACAATCATTCAAATGATAGACGCATGTTAAAAACTAAGAACAATATTTATTTAAATCATTGAATCATTTTGAACTTCAGTTATTCTATAAATAATTTTATCTTCGCTTTGAGTTTCACAGACTATATTTGTAATTGTCATGCACTTGCACGAATGAGTGAGAATATAAATGCTACACGGTTAGCTCATGCAAGCCATGGGCGCCGCCATGTTGGCCTTGGCTGCCCTGCATCACTTCTCACCATAACACTAACCCAAGGCCCAAGGTCATCCCAAAAAAATGCAGAGAAAATATACGGCCGAGGTTCTAGCAAAACAATCGGAATCCACCCTTAACACCACAATATCGTCCGCGCAACGTAAATAATTATTAACAGGCTTCAAATCAAGGGGTAATTTTCACTAAATTATCAAAATCAATACAGAGGATATCAAGGAAATAAGAACAGAGGAGGAGATGTGCCAAGGGAAATGTATCCAGAGAAAACGGTTCCAGGTGAAACCTACGGAATTCATACAATCAAAACAGACAACGAAATCAACTACATACACCTTTGCCAAATACAGGACGTTCCGACGGCAAGCCACGATACTGCAGTTGCAGTCGTTGTGGACATTGCATGTCACGTGGTATTTTGTTATTTAAGTTGTTTTTGTTAATTATTTATGTTAATTATCTGATTATAATGTGTTTTTATTATTTTATCGTGACTGAGCGTAAGGTACTAAAACGATAAGAAAGGCAAGATTGGAAAACAATAACAACTTTAAAGTATAGTAAAGTAAAACCGATATGAAATTTAAAAAGCGTTATGACAATTACAAATAGATTTTGAGTTAGTTGTCAGGTAATTTAGATAGATAACATCACAAATAAAAATTGAACAAAAACGTTTAGAAAAAGGGTCTTCTCATTGAAGATCAATACACCATAAAAGTTAACGAAACCACTTACATTGATAGGAGCGCTGCAATCATCCTGACCAGGAGGTAGTGCCACCAACACTTAGTGTTTCTTACTGGTTGTGCTCTTAAGGGTAGAGTCTGTTTGTTAATGCGTCCCCGAGTCGAACGTCCCCGATTAGACCATCGATCCCCGTTCACGCGCTAAACTTATTGATGAATTAGTGATTATTTGTACATAATTCAACATGGATCATTCACTGGTTCTAGAAGTTTCTTTAGTGTAAAACTGATGGAATTTCCAATACTTAGTAGGTTAGATAAGCACCCCCTCTGTCTTTTTCCACAATGTTCACAATAACCAGAACTATCGAACTTGCGTTAATTTCTGCTTGTCCCTACATAGATAATTCTTATCTGTTTTATAAATTTCAAAGGAATTGCAACGTTATGAAATATTTAATTAATTTTGAAATACGTTTTAAAGTCTAAAATGGTTTTTGAGTTTGTTTAAAACTCCACTACTGGTCGCGGTCTGTTTTTGAGTTTCGTTAAAACTCCACTGCGTGACAATACTACTCTAATCTTTTTATTTGTTTAGGTTGCTTTGAACCTTATTTTCGAGTCAGGGAGAAGTTTCTGTGGAGGATCTCTTATTACCAGAAGATACGTGTTAACAGCTGCTCATTGTTTGGATGACGGGTAAGGCTCTATTGTGAACAACGTTGTTCAATGTACTTTGCAGCATTTTATTCTTCCTTTTCTAATCAGAGTAATATCGTTGGAAGTGTTATTGGGGACGCATAACATTCGACGAAATGAAACTACCCAACAAAGCATTTCAACCTCCAATTTCACATTACATGAAGAGTATAAGAATAACAGAATGAAATATGACATAGCCACGGTTTATCTTCCAACACCGGCTATTCTCAATCGTAACTACATTTATTTTCTTTACTTCAAATATTTATTATGTGTAATAATTAACCACCAAACATATTAATTAATTTGTCGGCTTTATTTAGAATTCTTCTGTCTCTCCAACGATTGTTTGATACTTATATAATGGGAATCATTGAAGAAGTGAAATAGTCATGTTTTGGACCTATTCTGCTCCGTGTTAATATACCTACAGTAGTATTATTTTATTCGTCCCAACATTCTTGGTTTAAGTCAAAAGACATCTTTGGTGTAACCATACAGAGAAGATGTAGTGAAAACGAAACGTAAGGTCTTGTATAAATGAGACGTTCTCGTTCAGGTTACGTGATGGACAGGATAAAATAATTCTACTGTATAAATCCGGTGATTTGTCTTTACATTTTTTTAATTCCATTTTTCACAGAGTACGTTCAACTGATTGCGCTTCCCAGTAGAGCTGACGCTTCGAACAGTTTTGTGGGATCTGAGGCTATAGCAAGTGGTTGGGGATACGATTCTAATAATGCTACCGCTATCAGTGACGTATTGCGATATGTAAATGTTTCTATTATAGCAGATGACGTTTGTAATGTAACGTTCGGTGAGTACATCACAGACTCAATTATTTGTTCTGGAGGAACAGGTAGGAAAGGAATTTGCTATGGAGATTCAGGCGGACCTCTCGTCGTCAATGGAAAATTGGTAAATATATAAAGGGTTCTTTAAACTGAATGGCACGTTATAATTTTAAGAAAACTACGCAGGTTAGAGATTTAAAAATTTATAAATAAGGGTTATCCAGGATGCCTTTTTAGCTAAAATATTTTCAAATTTCGGCCTCTTCCAGTTATATCGGAAGTTAATTTCAACTTTGTTATTTTGATTGGATACAAATTTTAAGTTAAAATGTAAAAAATTATAACTATTACAGAAAATCAATTAGAATGTTGACATTTTTACGAGTTGCAGTTATTTTTATAACATAAAAAAATTTAACAGTTGTGGTAGCTGTCAATTGTCTGTGGCACAATTTTCTTATGACAAAATTAAAGAAATTATTTATTTTAGATAAAAGTCGAAATTTATCTAAAAATTTTCAAATAAACCAACATTCTTTATAGAAGTTATGTTTTTTTTATAGTTAAATTGCGATGACGATTTATTTTTCGAAAAATAAAATATTTTAGAAACTATTCCATTTTCTACTTTCTACTACAAAGGGAGGTACAACATTGTTATTATTCTTTGTTTTATCTGTTACAGGTTGGTATATCTAAATTTATAGGTTATGAAAGCTGTGAAGCTGGCGATCCAAGCGGCTTTACAAGGGTAACAACATTTTTAGACTGGATTGCAGCACACAGTGATGCTGTTATTTCTTAAACATTCCCTAAATAATTGATTTGTACACTGAAGCAAATATTACAAATAAAAATTAAAGAATTGAATTATTGAATCGATATTTATCTTTCTATATGTATCTATTGGGATCCGTCAAATAGGAGGAGCCTAAAAACATGGCTCCGATTAGGGAAAATTTATCGTAGTTCCTATAGTGTACCGTGCAATTTCCAAGTTTTTAAATTACGATAAAATGATAAGTATTGACACAATATGTGATTGGGCTGACACAAAGCCTCGGAAAGGAAATTTCGTTGAAGGTGAGCGTGTTTTTAATGCCAATCACATTATAAAATTCGGAAATAACAAATCCG